TCAATTACAAGCAAAGTATAATTGTAATTTTGAATTGTAATTAATATATAAGTACATTATTACATTACATTTGCTATTATTAATTACATTTGTTGCGACTTTTTCGTGATGTCACCCATTGGTATTTATCATAACTTATCCGACCTTTGTTGGAGACTGATACAAGTACTTATTGCAATTTGTTGTTAAAAGCAATTAGAGAGGACTCTCATCTAGCAAGTTATATGATGGAAGGTATTTTATGTGCTGTTCCTTGTGGATTGGTGCCAAAGCCATTGAGGCCTATTTGTGAAAAACGCTGTGATTCGTCTCATTTCTTAAGTAAATACAAAAAAAATACTCACTTATACACTTCATATGTTGCCAGGGGCCCGAATATCCAAGGTCCCTCGTTCATCACGAAAAAGTCGTAACAAATGTATTTAATAATAGCAAAAGTAAACTAATAAAATGATTTCATAAGCATTACATTCTAAAATAATACTTGTATTTCACTTGTAATGTAATTATAATGATTGTATATAAATGTAAGAAATATACAAAGTTTCTATTAAACTACAAACATGTTTTAGAGTAAGTAAGCTTACTAATAGTATTATTACAACATTACATGTGAGGTACAAGTACTCAACTCCTATTATAATATGCTAAAATTATATTATAAGTTATTTGTAACAATAGTTGATTGATTATAATAGTCATAAAAGTAATATGTTGTGCTTGTAAGTTAATTACAATACTTTTAGTAAGATAATATACAATTATATATATTAATAATGTTAACAATCACTCTGTCAGACTTATAATATAATTTGTTTTTACCTTTAAACAATATATCGAAGTGATTACATAATCGAGTACCAAAGATCGAGAGCATATAATGACGCACTTGCTCTCGTCACTCCTTTTCCTCCTACCTCCATCATCTCCCCAACCCTCTTCCCCCAACGCTATGTCGTCTCTTTTGTCCTCTCCAGGCCAGTCCTCTGCCTACAAGCATCCTCCAGCAGGCACACTGCCTGCAACTGCCTAGACAACAAAGGTCGCTGGATTCGTCTCTCTAATCTGCCACTGCAATGCCTGCGCTGAGCCTCAGATCTTGTGACAACACGGCCGAGCTGGCTACACAGTCCTTCAGCGTAAAGCGTAAGTAGCCAGTCCACTTCATAATAACTCGCACAATAGTTGCTCATCCCTCTCCTCCCAACTTCTTGTCTCCCTTTCATCCCTCCCGCTCCTCGCTTTGCCTCTCCTTCGTTGTCCTCCTTTTTATTATGCTCGCCTTCTTTTTTGCATTCGCATTCGCACATCCACATTGTTGACCGACTTCTTCAATAATTCCATGCATTCGTGTACTTCTTCCCGCTCAGCAACGCAAGCAACAATCGGTGAGTACGCGCTCGCGACAATGTCCATGTATTACCACTCCTCAGGCGCAATCCTCTCTCTGACCCCCCGCACACTCTCCTTCCACACTTACCATCCTATGCTTGACATCACCCTCGATGGGCCCACGCCGTGTGCATTTATATACCCCAGTGCCGTCCATGACACCATTTTGAATAACAGAAGCAGTAGCCACCGCTCACCTCTCCTGAGCCAAGTCCGCCCGCACCACCCACTTCATCCTCTCCCTTCGAGCCAGAACGTCCTAGAGATACACCTTCGAAGTCATCCACAACTATTACTGAGTTCACTGCACCTCCGATTGCGCGTCGCGTCGTAGCTAGAGCATGCAACGTGCTTGCACAGACACGTTTCCCCTGCAGCCCAAATTAGCTCGCTCAACGCTCCGGATCTCAACCTGTATGCACCACTCACACTTGCTGCACGCTGTCACAGTACGTCCACCTTTTATCTCCTATTGTCACTTGCTAACTACTCTAAACCTGTCTAACAGGCGCAGCCTCAACCTCCACAACCCGCTCAACCTCATCCCACACACACACGCAATTTGACTCACAGGTCCTGAGTGACGACCAAACGTAGTGACGAAGACTACATCAAACGGCCCAAGGATGTGTTCATCCTTTTCTGACACGAATTCTACTCACGAAAGAACAAGGCAGAGGCTGCTGCTGGTGCAGGGGTTAGAACTGTAGAAATAATGTATCATTTATTATTTTGTATTAAATAATTAAATATAATTATATTTTATTAATTATTTGATAAAAAATTGTATCTGAAGCAAAAGGAAGCGATTCAAACGCTTGTAATGACTTATAAGCATTATAAGCAGATATTATAATTTCTCAAATAAATAAGTATGTCTTAGTCTTGTAATCTTAGAAAGTGTTATAATCACTTTTATAACTTGACAATTTATAAAATTATAATGGAAATTGCCAAGTTTTAAAAGTATTCTTACTTACTTATCTAACATTGTACTGTCATTACTTAACCCCCCAGGAAGATTATAAGTAATTGGACAAATTTTATAAAATATATAAAATATGCAAGATTACAAGCAAGTATAATACTTAAGACTTTTTCGTGATGTTACTCTTTCTGTTCTGCATTAAGCAATATTTGAATAGCCTAACTAACAAAAGTACAAACATGGCAATGTTCCGGTCGTACCGTGGTCTAAACGACGGTGCGGAGTCGAGACGTTTCTCGATGGAAACATTACATTCACCCAGAGGGTCCGCCATATTACCTGATGGAAAGGTGTGATGGACAAAGGTTTACCTATTTGACGGAAGCCGATATCCAGGACAGATCTGTCCTGGAGGAAGTTGACGCCTTCATGAATGAAGTTGAGAGACATGCAGCAAGTTTCAATTGGGGTCGAGATATCCCGGAAAATGTTGAGGTTGTTCTCGAGATTGAAGAGGATGGGTGGAGCTACTACATGGTTGACTTGGAGCAACGTTGTGTCTTCTGGCTTCATGAGTACGATATCAGCAATGCACTGGGTGAAGGTTTTGGCGTTGGATCAATCGATCATTTTCGTAAGTAAATGGTTCTGCCCTCGAAAAATAAATTACGTATCTGTCTTCTATGGTTAGGTAGCGAGTTAGATTTTGAGTTTTGGCAGCATATCGAATACTTCCCTAACCACCGCAAGCTTTACCCCGATGTTTTCAACGAAGTGATGGGAATACTTAATTATTGGATAATAGGTATGGTTTGGTGCTCTTGAAAGCCGTTTCTCCGATCATATAAGTTTTTAGATATCAAGATTTACGTCGACTCTGCCACACCATACGATGCTGACGACTTTGCCTCGCTCGTAACATCAGTCGAGCATTTACAGTGTTTGTATTTGGCCATCCTTGCACTGACAATCAATTTTGAGTTAAATTCCTATTTAGCAGTCTACGACTCTGGTTACTGTGCCTATGCCATTGCAAGTATTGGTGAGGTTCTGTCCATTTTGCCTTTTATTTGACGTTTTGATTCTGGTAACAGGACGTATAATGAGTATTATTTGTTTGTAATTGCCTTGGAGTATAATCAAAACACTAACTGATATTACTTTAGACAATGAGCGATATTTAAACTTTCATGGCTTCAACGGTGCTCGCCTTACGACCTCGCAGAGTGTGCGAGGGATCATTCCGAAACAACGATCAACACTTATCAAGTGTCTATCTCCTTTACTATTCTTTTCTCCGGAGGCCCATATTTCTGGTGAATAACTTGTTCTAAAATGCTTTTCAACACTCATTCAATGTGATCAGACCTTGAACTATTACATGTGGATGGCTTCATAAGGGACCGTACATGGAAGAAATATCGGGTATGTGATAGGCATTTATACAGTGGACTTTGTTCACCCAGTCTTTCTTGGTCTCGTCCATCTTCATTGCTTTGACACTTTGAATTATCCATTTCAGAACAAGCTTGAGAGAGATTGGGAGGCATTTGTGCTCACAGTCAGTTTGAAGAATTTCTTCACATGATTAATGTTTAACAATGATCAGTCCACAGTTCTGCTAAACGCGAATGTCGCTCTGCTCAGCACGCCAATTATTTTCTCAGATAACGGAAATGCAGGCTTATCGGCATCACCAGCCGCCGTGGCAAGTCAAGTCTCCGTAATTGCAAGCATTGCAAGTATCATCATTGGGCTCTTCCTCGTGCGGCAGACTCGTGGCGACAACGTATACAATACCGTGTGTATTACCATTATTTACTATGTTCACATTCAGTCTCATCTAGAATTATGTGTTTTCTTTACACAGTATACTTATCTTAGCGGTAGAAAACACGAGCAACGTGGGCTTGAGACAATAGCAATCCAATACAGTTTGCCTTATGCTCTACTTATGTGGGGGTATGTTCTCTTTCTAAGAACCTGTTTCTTCTTCTTTTGTGCTGAGCTCCGATCACTTTCCAGCATAATTGCATTCTTGACTGCAATTGCAATTGCCTGCTTCTTCAGAATTGATAATAGTACACCAGGCTTTGCTGCACAAATAATTTATGCTGTATCATGGCTCTTCACTATTCCCCTCATCCTTTGGACTGCACTTACTGTCTGGGAGACGAACAATCGGACACACTTGTCTGAGCTCCTCTCGACTCTCTGGCAGAAATGGAAATATATTAATTGGAAGGGGCAGGGGAGATTGTCTGGATTTGGTGCATATTAGGAGACGTTGAGGCAAACTAGTCAGTAGAGATAGAATGAGTATCTGTAACCTGATAGCAACCCAGACCAACCAGCAGCAAGCCAGCTCAACTAGTAATTCTGGCAGAGTTGAAGCTCCCAACAATTGTAATCAGTATGTATAAGAGAAGAACGGAGACATTTTGATTTGCATCCAGTAGCAGCCGTGTGAGCAGTACTTTGGGTCGCTGGCAAAACGTCTGAGAGCACCTAATCCGGTAATACCCGAGCCAGCCTCATGTTAGCGTTAATATTACTGGAGGTTAGATAGTGACACTAGTTGAGGCACCGACCAACCCCCGTGTGGAGAAGGTTTCATAAACGAATCGGGCTTAATACACGCATTCCGAGGGATAAGGAGGTATTCCGCCTGCCCACGGGGCAAATGGGGCCAAGTGCCATCGGAATCAAACCTCCGTTACTTCCCGTTTCTTGGCGATGATTCATTGTGGTCTTGGTCTTTGTGCAGGTCCAAGTTGGTGAGTTAGTGGTTAAGCGCACGAGTCATTTTTGCTGTGGGTCCCTATAATAAATAAATAGCCAGATACAAACACGTGCACTGCTGCGCACGGATTTTGTTTCGTATGTATCAAACTCTTAAAGGATTGGATATCCCGAGCCTGAGCTGCTTTGTAGATTGTTTTAGAAGGTGATAGACAGATGAGTATGATTGATTGATGCCGAGACAGAGAACGACGGGTCCACCGTCTGACCGATTGCGAAGTCGCTTCGTGGAGGGTCATAGGTTGGAACTTGAGTGACCGAATGAAGGCAGAATTACCATAAACAGACACCAGGCGCTTAGAGTCGTACAAATCATTCCGACACGACCGCACGAATTCCGGGCTGTAGCTTTGCTCTCGAAAATCCGAATTGCCCTGCTGCAGCTGCTTGTAAATGTGCATTGACTGACGGGGAGACTTTGGCCTTGGAATTTCGCATTGACTCATAATGCACAGGATTACTCCATGCTTGAGTCACGGCGACCTTTGTTACGAGTTGATCCAATCAACCGAAATATTGGTACAGTGACCCGGCGGGATGAGGGTAATTGGCCTGCCGATGATGACATTCAATAACATTCTATGGGCCAAGAGACTCGCTCCGAGGAACAACTAATTCGTGACAGGGGATTGAGGTTCCTCCAGCCTTGAACGACATGCAAAACATGAAAGTAGCGCCCGGCTTTAAAGTTCGGCAAATGAAAGCGGTGCTGGAATCAAGGCGGCAACGTAGAAGTGATGCCGACGGGACGACGACCATCTTGCCAAGAGGTCTGATAGGCTATAAGTAAGAGTGTGGCTCCTTCCTAACGCACCACCAGAACCCGTTGACTATTTAACCCACAATTATTTTTCCATCCGCAACTATTCTGCCCGCCAAAATCCATGGCACCAATCTTTGACCAGACCTCGCGTACATCCTCGAAACGTGCTGCCAAACTCGTCAGCCGCGACAATGAAGACGGTGGTATGAATGGGTCAACAAAGATCGGGATTGCCATCGGTCTGAGTAAGTGATTCTGCGTTGCCTACAGTCGATGTAACTGACTCGTTGCTAGTCTGTTTCTTCACACTGCTGATCAGCTTTTGGTACATCGCCAACCGTCGAAGGAGTGTACGTCAACCTACAGCCGACGACACATTTAACCAAGAGACATTGAGTCGTTGGGTTGACACCGCCGCGCGCCCTACGCGCTCATCGACGAGCCGCCTCAATTACGCGCACGAGCGTCGCGCGTCGAACAGCACATTCGCGACAATGACGACATATCCCACCGTGAAAGACGAGTACGAGCTCACGCGCCCACCTCAAGCACATACTGCCGCGCACTTATAACGCAATCCTCACGCGTCGTACCACATCTTCGTAGATGCACCACACTGCACGCTGCTATTCATCATGTTTTCGCAATTTCATGCTCTTTCTCGTTCGGACGGAAATGCCAGTCTTTAGGGCCCGTCTTGTTTCGTGTTTTCTGCCTCATGTCGCCTCACGTAATGTCTGTAATGAGTATCTCACACCCGCAAACGCCTGTAATAGATATATACCTGTACAAGCGGCATACCTGTAGCTTTCGATTCCATTTTCTTATGAGTGGCGATTGCTCGTTGAAGTGCGTGAATTATTAGATGAAATAAACAGCGTTGCTGGACAAGAGGCGCTGGGAGCGGCTCGAAAGTCACGTGGCTTACGGACGGAAGAGAGCGGACGACGGACACGACGCATACGTTGTCCTCCCTCCTTGTTTACCACTCACCATGTCTGGCTCAAATGTTATGACCAAGAAGATGGCATTTGAGAGTACGTAAAATGCGACCTATTATTATGGATATTTGTCTGAACATGTCGATCTTTCCAGTTGCAATGCTCATCGCGTCTCAAGTGAGCACGCATGTGTTTTCTGTCCACATAAGATTTCTGATATTTCATGTTGTAAGGTAGCAGCGTACTATACTGTAAAAGTGAGTATCTTAACGTAAAAATGTCCTTCTTTATACTGATTTGTTTTCCGTGCAAAGTGGATAATGGAATCTATGGGTCCTGGTGGCGAGCGCAAATCAGCCAAGGCGAGAAATGGAGATATTCTGAAGCGCCTCGGGCACAAGGACTTGAAACTAACAGAATATGAAGGTGCGTCCCCCGATGTGTCTCTTCCAATATGCGTGTTAGCTGACGGTCTGCAACAGAGGCTATTGCTGCAGAAGTCATCCACCCTGATGACATTGACGTCCGGTTTAGTGGTGCGTTCGAAGTTGTTCTGTTCTGCAAAGTAGAAATCACACTTAGCGCTGGGCTTGCGTAACAGACATAGGAGGACTAGACTCGATCGTCTCTTCCTTACGCGAATCCGTAATATACCCTCTCGTTTATCCCTCACTGTTTTCCTCGTCTTCGTCGCTACTCAGCGCACCGAAAGGTGTGCTCCTTTACGGCCCGCCCGGTTGTGGAAAGACGATGCTAGCCCGGGCACTCGCCAAAGAAAGCAACGCAACTTTCATAAACATCGCCGTCTCCTCACTTACCAACAAATGGTACGGCGAATCTAACAAGCTGATCGCCGGATTGTTCGGTCTCGCTCGAAAAGTACAACCAAGTATCATATTCATCGACGAAATTGATTCATTTTTGCGAACGCGGAGTCAAGGTGATCATGAAGTGACAGCCATGATGAAGGCGGAGTTCATGACGTGCGTTCTTGCTCCTTTCTTGTTATTAAGTTGTCGGGATTGACATAGTTGGAAACAGCCTATGGGATGGTCTACTATCTGCCTCGGACCGAATACTCGTTCTCGGCGCAACGAACCGACCAGCCGACATTGACGCAGCAATTCTTCGGCGAATGCCAAAGCGATACCCCGTTGGCTTACCAGACAAGCAACAACGATTAAATATTCTTAATCTTGTCCGTAATTTCCTTATGTTTCATGGTTCAGTAGGTTGTTCTAACTTTTTATTGCGCAGATGCTCAAGGGAGCAGAGCTAGCACCGAACTTCCCCTTAAACCTCCTCGCCGAGCAAACAGCCGGTCTCTCCGGTTCGGATCTCAAAGAGCTCTGTCGAGAAGCAGCGATGATCCCTGTACGCGAGTTCCTGAAAGCGGCAGGTGGCGATCGAGAAGTGCTGGAGCAGAGTCGAGAAGAAGTACGCCACCTCTACCTCCAGTCCATTTCAGAATACTGTTACTAATTTGAGGATATTGGCTGTACTAACCAATATAATAGGGTTTCTCATACCGACCATTAGAAATCACGGATTTCTTCGCGAAAGACGGGAGCGGCGCCGCAACACCAATACCAGCATTAGCGAATGGACATGTAAATGGGACAGACGACGGGCTTAATCTTCCTATATCGGATTAGGATAGCCTTAGTCGTTCTCCTTTTTTCATTCATCAGAGTCCTTTCTATTTGCGAGTGCACTGACCATGCTCGCATTTCTTTCATATTGACAAACTAATATATTGCCTTGTCCATTCTCTTGGAACCTTCGTTTCACATACACACTCATAATACATTCTCGACATTAGCTTCTAACTAGAGCACACAGAATTGTATCGCTTTCTTTGCCAGCTATCTTACATGTACTCGTGTTAACAGCACCGAACTTTTGAATCAAAGGTTGTGAGTGCTTGCATTTGAATTTGAGGACGTGTAACTATATCAAAAGTAGGATATTCTAATGACTCTCGAAAGAAGCTGAGTAGCCAAATTAGAGAACTTGACGGCTATAAAGATACACAGGGATACAAATCAAACCGGAGTTGACGAGCATCGTTTTGTAATAATGAGTAGAGGTATAGTTGATGTAAGTGTAAAAATAATAAAGGCAGAGGTGGTGTCTGATCCAGATGACTCGGAACTTGCTGTGTGAAGTGTGTATAAGGAGCAAGTATTTGCATTGGGTTGAAAGGACTATATGCATGAACAGAGAGCAATGAGTTTTGATATATATCTTTCCAGTTCCAGGAAACCTTACAACGTACCTACACCCTTATTTTTCCGTTTTCTCCCTTCCTTCCCGCACACCTCCTCTTCCTACACATCTCCAACATCAAGATCCTCACCCTGCAAACAACCCTCTCAAACTGCCTATCAAGCACCCTCCTCAGCGGAAAGAGACAGTATTTCCCAAACGTACGACCTGGTCCAGGAAGGTCATCTGTCGTCGCGTTCCTACTTAATTCTGATTCCAATTCCGAGTCCGAATAGCCATCGAAACAAGAGCAAGAGCAGGAGTGTGTGCATGGGCAGGAGTAGATGGTTGAGTATGAGTACAGTGAGGTAGAATCGGGTTGAATATGCGAGGAAGAGGAAGAGTCTTCTTCTGCTTCCCTCCATTGAGAATGAGAGTGGATATTCAAGTTGACAGTAGTCGAAGCTCGGTCGCGTTGGGCTGGGTAGCCTGTATAGACGTACACTTCTTCCATGGTGAAACGTGAACGTAGAATGGGACAAGAAAGACTAGGAACCAACAGGACAGAACGAAAACGAAATTCAGTGACCCCAGGTTGATACAACCCGTAATGACATTTATACTCACCGAGTCGCCCCTCCCTCCGTCAGACTCACAAACGTCCGAAAACCAGTCCTACTAGGCCCATAGACCAGTCCAGCGCTTAACAAAATAATATTCTCAGCTGTGCAAAATGCGCATGTATCCAGCACGCGCTTGTACGTGTAACTTTACATGCGTACTAGTCGAGGGCCTCGAGGCTGTGCGAAATACCTCACTTTCCGAATGAATATTGATCTCTGGACCGTCCGAGCACTGATCTATATCATCTAACTCTTGCCGGTTGCTCGAACAACCATGGTGGAGCAGTGTGCAGTATCTCACTTCATTAGACAGGGGCGAAAATAAATGTCAGAACAATGCTTTGGCAAGTCGGTGGCAGTGGTAATTATCCTCACATTCTGTAATAGTCTTCAAGCAGCAAGACAACGCCTTGATGCGCTGAATCAAAGTCGAGTATGAGTCCAGGGCGTATAGGAGTATGTATGAGATCCACAGCACCCTTTATAGAAACAAACACAACGTGTGATATGGTATATTGCTGTTGTGGTAGTAACACAAGGTACAGATACAATCTATCAAGATAACCATTTCGAATCAGCGCAGTCCTGGTACACATTAGACTAGGAAATAGTCCACCCTATCACACCTCATATCCTCATGTCCCTCACGTATTCAAATACGCAAGTAACCTCTTCCTCCCATCCTCCTCCCTCTTCCTAACACGTTCAAACCCCCTCCTCCCTCTCCCCATAAGCTTCTTCACCCTTCTTTGCTCCTCACTTGCACGTATATGTGCTGCGAGTGCAGCTTGGCTGTGCGTCACGCGCTTGACAGGTTCGCGATGGATACCTGTGCCGATGGTCTTTGCTTTAAGCCCTATTCCGAGTTTGTCGGATTTGAGGATGGTTGGGAGGGGAGTTAGGAGGGCGTGTGGGGAGTGGTCTATGTCGTTATTGGATATTGATAAGGTTGCTGTGCGTATGGACTGCACGGATCGGTTAGTGAAGGTATCGCCCAGCTCGGGACTCTCGTCGTCTAATCCAGTTAGGTCGATGATCTCGTTTTCGTCGACAGTGGCGTCCACTACTTCCTGCTTCACCGCTTTAACCTCCTCAACTTCGCCATCGTCATCAACACCCCCATTTCTTCCAACTTCCCTCTCCTTTCCCTTCACAGAGTATCCAAGTCCAGCCCGATTCCTCGAGGCCCGTCCAAGCGCCTCACCCTCTTCCCACCCGCTCTTCTGTAACATCTCAAAGCCTTTATTACTCGGACCGATCGCAATCCAAACCGGTGGGGTGTATTTTTGTTCTGTTGGTAAGGGAGGTGGATCTCGAGCTAGGATGTCTGCGAGTGTTGGCGTTGGTGCTCTAGGTGAGGTTGTTCCCGACCCGGTAGGAGATTGCGAGGATGAACTGCCTGGGTGGTTGTTGGTGCTGCTGCTGGATGCTTCCAAGGCACGTGAAATGAACCAGTTGTTTCGATCCCTCTTGATGAGTTTCCTCTCTTTCTCTCGAGCGTCGCGGGCAAGTGGGGGTGTTGGACTCTGATTCGTAGGAGTAACACTCCTCGATGTCCCAATCGGAGTCTTCCTCGCAAGTGACTTGTACCATCCACCAATACTCTCTATCCCTTCTTCTCGCCGTCCTCCAGCATGTCTAGCCTTCTCGTCTAGTAGTGAACTCGAAGAACCCCACTCGTTATAGTCTATAGTAGCGGCGACGAACATTGGTGGATGCGTAACACGCTTGCTCGAACCAAAGGGTTTCTCAGTAAGCCATGGATCTGCTTGGTCGTGAGCTTCTACATCGTATTGTCCTGTCTCTACTTCGAGCCGTTCGCGGTCTTCTTCTGGGTTGTAGGTTGAGAGGATGTGGTGTGCGACTGTGGCCATGGTTGGCTGTCGAAAAGCAAGGAAGTCAAGTCTGTAGACTCTGTACTTCACTGTTCCCAAATTACCAATGTCGGTGAAATGACTCTTTGATGACATAATCCACGATGTAGTCAGCAGCAAAGGTATCACGAGACGCAAAGTGCGCCAGATTCAGATTGGCCCGTTGATTGGTGCATTCGGCCCTCCCAACTAACAAGACCGATCTGCTCCGCTCTTCTTCTCTTTTCACCTTTCTTTTTTCCACTCCACCATCTCTCTCGACGCCCTTCAAGGTGTCTTAAAAAAGGCCTCCTAGTGCCTCTCTGGTTTGCTTCAAAAGTCTCTAGAACGATAAAACCCAAAGAGAATAAAACAGAAAGGAAAAGAAGATAACGATAGACAAGAATGGGAAATGAAGAATTGAGTAGTGCTGTACGTGTTTCCCCTCTTCTGCCCAGGAGGACAGGATGTTTACCTTATGTCGTTTCTCCTCGGAATAGTTTGGTTGGGTATCCATAGCATGCTGGTACGCTCATAACTCTAATGTTATGTCCACCTTCCATTCATTAATGACTTAAACTTAATCTATGCATTTGTGTATGCCTAATGTTCATTGTCCGTTGCTTCATCCCTTCTCCCGTGAATTTCGGGACGCCAAACGACATGCAGGATTGTGGTCTACTCGCCCCAAATATGGGAAAACTACCAGCTTCAATCTGGGGAGGGACTGAGCGTTGCGTTCGTTGTTGTCTGGCTCCTCGGAGATTTGTGTAACCTTGTTGGTAAGTTCTGCTTTGCTCCCTAAGATGGAACATAATGTTAAGCCATGTTCGTGATTTGTAGGAGCTTCAATGGCGGGTCTACAGGTAATCAAAGGGTTAAGTTTCGTTTCCTCAGGATGATGTTGATATATGCGCATATAGGCAACAGTCATCATAATTGCGATCTATGTATGTTGTCTTATCTCCGTTTCTCGATAATATTCGAACTCATTCACGATTTCCTTGGCCAGTATTCGCTCTGCGACGTGATCCTTCTTGTGCAGATATACTATTACCGATACAAGAGTCGTGCACGACGAATAGTTCCTGCACCCAGGGTAGTCTTGCACACAGAAGACAGGGAGCGAGCGCCGCTCCTCGGATCGCGCGTCTACGAAGACGATTGCACTTCGCAGAAAACCACAGCTTCGACGGCAGGAGAGGGTAAGAATGAAGACAAGTGGTACGGAAGAGCGGCACTCCGTTATTTACTCGCGCTTCTTTTTGTATTTGGTGTGGGGACAGCAGCGTGGGGGATCAGCTGGCGATATGGGGTTGGAGTTGGGGATGGTGGTGGAGGGGGACATGAGGGCGCGGGCGCCGGACGAGGTGCAGGGCCGGCGAGAGAGAAGGATGTGATTGAGTGGAGGAGCCAGGTTATTGGGTGGACGAGTGCCGTTTTGTATCGTGAGTACGAATGCCTCTTGGGATTATTTACTCTTTTTCGTGTATTTCGAATCAGCGTGGTGTGTGCTTGCCGAAGCGCAGGAGCACACCATTGTCGCCGTTGAAGCTTGAGCTTGTTTCTCGTCCTTCTTTGTTATTTATTCATTGATGGGGAAGAACTGACTGTTTGGGTTGCTTTATTTCACAGTGGGCTCGCGGATACCTCAGATCTGTACGTACTGCGTCGTGCCTTTCTTCCCGTGCTTCTTCATTGATTGACCCGTTATCCGAAACTCTGATTACTACAAAATGCCGGATTTCTCCCTCCAGTGAAAAACACGAAAACACGGTGCGAGGGACTGTCACTGGCACTGTTCATGTTTTCTATTGCGGGCAATGTGACATACGTGTTGTCGATATGCACTGCGTCAATGGGCGCTCGGCATCTCATTGCGAATGCGTCGTGGCTTGCAGGTGGGTGTCGTTTCGATAAGATGAAACGCCGCACTTACTGTTACTTATACAAACGTCCGATGGTGCAGGGAGCGGGTTGACTGTGTTCCTGGATGTATTTGTGAGTAAAGGTTGTTCCCGCGTCGAGTGTGCAGAGTGCTAATTTATTACAGGTGTTGTGCCAGTTCTTCTACTTCCGTCGGGAGGATGCAGGGTACTTGAGAGCTGAGATGCCAGAGTAAGATATGCCATGGCCATGATTGAATGTGGATTGGTAGATAGACGCATGTGTGCGATCGATAAGAGTTGCTTCAGTGAATATATGCGCGTATATGCGTTACCCGTGCGAATGTTTCCGTCGTCCCATTCAGTCCAGACGATCTCACTCTTTACGCCCGAGCCCGTCTCTCTTGCGTCGACCACATCATCGCACGCGTTGCTCAGCTCGCCGCTGGTTCTAGCATGTCATTTGTGTGTTCTCGTGGCCGCGTCGGGGGGAGACGCAGAGGGCACGACGGAGAAAAGGAGGCAGAAGAGCACACGGGCCAAAGTACTCGAGGCATCGGGTAGGACCTCGTGTCCTTCAGCGAGGCAGAGGCGACTGCCTCGTGTCCGACGACATCTCCCAAGAACTACTGCTCTGCCAGCCTCGTGCTTGCCGCCAGCCATCTCCTCCATCCAGACCTGCCCTTTCAATGCTCTCTCTCTCCAGCACAACATCTTTCATCAGTGCCCCAACTCCCCGCGACTTTCTTATAGTCCCGGTGTGCCACTCTCTGCTCGTCTTTCTCCTCCACTCGTGAGGATAGATAGCAAGCACTGCTGTTTCTCGCTGCGCTGCTGAAGGTGAGCCCCGTGCTGCCAGTTATATGTGCCGAGCTGCCTTGTGTTCCTAAATTTTCCATTTTCCTGCATTCTGCGTTTCTTGTTTGTTGTCGCTCCTCAGGCCCGGCCTCGTGCTCCCACTCGTTTCCGGTCGGTCAGTGCGCGAGGCAACAGCCAACGGCAGCACACTCTCCGCCCTGCCACACAGTAGCCCATACAGCACGCCATCCATTTCCCTTTCACCTTCCCTTTCCTCTTCCCTGCCTCCTCCATCTCTTTTAAGCCGCCCTCCATTGCACACAGGACGTGAACTTGTCCCTCGACGCCCCCCACTTCGGCCCTGCGGCACATATCAGGACACCTGACACAATCGGCCGTGTGCATGCACCGGCACAGCTCCGCTGCAAGTGCTGCTGCGATTACTACTACTACTGCACACGCCCCCGCCGAGGCAGTCAATAACATGCGCGCAATTCCGCCCACATACTTCAGACCGTCATCTCCCCACGGCTCGCGTGCGTCAACCTCTCATCCTGCGATGCCCACCGCCGTACCGCTTCCGCGGGAGCTTCAAGTCCCGTCTATGCGCTCGAGTGCGTCGAGTGCTGCGAGTTACCGATCAGACAAAGGCTGTGAGAAAGAAAGGGAAGGGCAAAAGAGGACTAGCAGTATTCCAATGGCTCCGGCTATGGTGAGAGGTGAGAGCAGCAATAGCAGCAGCTCGGGCAGCTCGCGGGGTTACGGCCCGAGTGCGACGACGTACTATAGGGATCGGGAGGATCAGCAGCACCCACAACGACAGCGCAGGTCGTCGACCTCGGCCTCGAACTCAACGGCGCCTTCTTCGGTGCCTTCGTCATCTCCCTCACGAACACGTTCCCGACGTCAGTCCATTAATCAGGGCTCTAATCCATATCCGGCCTCACGCAGAGAAAGGTCCTCCGGCAATGATGCACATGCAAATTCGATACCACATCTGCGCGAAGCACTAAGCACGCTCGAATCGCAGATGGCTAGTTTGCAATTTGAGCGGAAGAAGCTCGAGACGCGTCTGGAGAATGCCGTTAGGAGGCAATCGCCCATACAGCGGATACCGGGAGAGCTTCTTGGCTCGATCTTTGAGATTGGTGTGCATCGTGCTTCTGGAGCGGAGGATGCTCTATTGCTTTCAACGCTGATGCGTGTGTGTAAGCACTGGACCGACGTTGCGCTGAATACGCCTGTGCTTTGGTCGAAGATTGTGATTGATACGCCTGCGAGTCTCCCGAAGGCGCGGCGCAAGCTTGCACGTTCCCGCGCCGTCCCACTGGATATTACGATTCAGTTTGGACCCTCAGTGGACCCGGAGGCTCCCGTTCGTGGAGGACAGGGTGGATATGGCCAGGCGGTGATTGAGACCGTTGTACATGCGATGGACTTGCTTCAGCCGGCAATCTGGCGTTGGCGATCGTTCCGCCTCGCAGTCCCGACTCACGCACATGCCGCAGCTGCATTATCCCAATGCACCGAGGCCGCTCCAATACTCGAAGTCCTTGCCGTACAGGTGCACCATGTTATGAACGATGCCGGGCGCTCATCGCGTTCGCTCCGGCAGGCTCCTTTAAGTCTGAACGCGTTCATGGACGACGATGCGGACGCTCAGCTTTTCGGTGGGCAAGTTCCACGACTACGCGTATGTGCGCTCACGTCGTTCGATGCTGGGTGGGGCGGGCCAATCATGCGTGGATTGACGGTACTGAGACTTGGTGGGTTCTGGAACGGTGCTGCGCCGAGGATGCGGACACTCATTGATGTGTTACGCGCGTGTCCTGAGCTTGAGGAACTTTCACTAAGGAATATGTCGGATGTTGAAGGGGAGATGGGAAACGAGAGCTGTGCGTGCTTTGACTTTGATGGGCAACTTAAGTCTACGAGATCGCATTCGCATTCACGGTCTGCTCACTCGCACTCGCACTCCCATTCGCATTCATTGTACCCACGAGAGTCGGATATGGTACACCTTCCGCGTCTTAGACGCGCGTCGTTCTACTATTCGGGCGTGGTACGCACCGCAGGACTCCTCGCACAGATGTCCTTCCCCGCACTCGAACGGCTAGAGTTATCCTACCTCGACAACATCACACCCGTTCTTACACACTTAAAGCGTCAGGCCTGTTCACCTCCGTTAGGCTTTACCGGGGACTCAGCAGAATGGGTAGTGAGAGACGGGAGATATGATGGGGGGATGCGGATGAGGACTGGTTTACCGTTGGTAACTCTGAGGATTGAGAGTTGTTTATTTAATGAGCTGAAGCTTGTGAGGCTTTTGAGACGCTTGCCGACGATTAGGAAGCTTGAGCTTGTGGATGTTGAGGATGTGTCGGCGAGTTTCCTGAATGTGCGTTCCGCTATTCCTTCCATCCTATTTGACCTACATTGACAATGAAATCAATACAGGGCCTTTCCACACCACAATCCACCCACTCCCATTCACATCAAGCACCACAATCATCTCAATCATCTCAAACACAACAAGAATGGATCTGCCCACTCCTCGACACGCTCAACTTCGACGGATGCAGTAGCTTACCATGGGACGCGCTTCGGGCAGTCGTAGAAGCGCGTTTACCAGCTTCTACGAGTGCTGGTGCGAGGCTATTAGGTCCTGCTGCGCGGTCGTCTGTTGGGAGTTTGAGCAGTGCGTCGGGGTATGCTGCTCATCAAACGCAACGTACATCGTCGTCTTCTTCGCTTAATGCGAGTGCGAGGATGAGTCGAGCGGGTAGCACGAGTGGAGTAGATGGAGGGCCGACGAGACTTCGTACTCTTGATTTGACACGGTGCCCGCAGATAAGTAAAGAGATGATTGCGTGGTTGAGGATGTATGTTGACGAGGTGAGGGTGAGGTGTGAGGCGGAGCAGACGTATTGGGGTGAGTTCGGGTTCTCGGAGTAGGAATCCAGGATGTTTTTGGTTGGGTTGGTTGGTTTGGTGCAGGAATCGAGTCCCAGGCCCGCAAGAGTCGTGTACGATGCCGATGGTTTCTCGTTCGTTCGAGTTTTGGTTCTTTGGTTAGCTTGTCGCGAAGTCGGAAGTTGGAAGTGAAAGTGGAAATGAAACGAATGTCTTTTTTTACGCTAAATTCTTCTTGCATGTGAACAACTGTTTTTTCTTTATTCTTCATCTTGGCATGGTTCGATGGTTTGCTTCACAACGAATGTTTTTCAATCAACGTGTTCTTCCTTCTTGCACAACATAGATTTCTTTGTTTTTCTTTCTTTCTTTCTTCCAATGTTTCAATGTGCACAAGTATTTAGTATTTTGTAATTCAAGGTTTTGTATGTATTTTTTTTTCTTTCAAGGGATCCGTCATTAACTTTTCACTTCTTTTCTTGCATTCATGTCTGTAAGTATGTTTGTATGTTCTAGCTTGCTCCTGTGGAGTAACAACAAATTTCTTTTTCGAGTCTATAGGTGTTTAATATCTTGTATACAATTACTATCGATTAGAACTTGGATTTGTAGTGCTTTAAATCTTTTCCTTGTAATTCTAGGGCACGTGCATTGATAGGCAGTATTGAGAGAAACAACTCGAACAGAACCGAGAGCAGGTCATAATGTTCTGAGATTCATAAGTAAACTTGAATTTAATTTCTTGCATAGTCAGAAGTTATTCTTCTTGGACAGGGCAGAAAGAGCTGAGTGTAGCTTGTAAATAATAAAATTAGTATGTTTATTTGATTTGAAGAAGACTCAAACGATCAAACACGCACGAGCGTTGCCTGTTCAAGCACCTGGTCCGTGCGCGCTTTTGCATTCCCTTATAATCTGCACGTTATACACGATAACACCTCATACTTACCTTGACGGCGCATCCTCCTTCATGTCTTGGGGATGTGGACCATGGGTACTTTCCATAGCACGGCGACCCTGTCCACAGAGAGGGCCTGTGGCTTGTATACGGTTTATGCCGTATGCACTGTCTTAATATTTTCCTGTCCCACTTCGGCCCTCGGGCTGGGTGGGCTCTTTTTTGGTTCCTTTGAGGTTCTAACCCTAACCTTATTCAATGTATCTACAAAAGAAGAAGTTTGCTTATGAATATATCCGTATTTGATTGATATTGCGTTTGTGCGATTCGCTCCGAGGACAAGGACACCGTTACGTCCGCGCGCTTTTCGTACACATCTTCACCGGCCGTCACGGCGACCCTAAAGCTTCCCTGCTGTTTGTCGTGCTACGCTAGACTTAAGACCGCACTTACGACCCTTCAAGACTTCAATTTTCCATCACCATGGCTCATTCTTATTACTCGCCACGTCCTGTACGACGACACTCGTTCTCAGACATGTCTCCTTCTCCTATAGACGATGAACTTTCTGGCGACTTGGAACAGTCAATTTTCATATTTCCTAGTCCAAGGATAGGATCAGAACCGCCGAGTCCGTTATCTATCCCTACGGATGTGAGCTTCCCTACTACTACCAGTACGGCGGAGAGGAGAGGGCGACGAACAAGTAGTGTGAGTGGTATCTCGGAGTGGGCAACGTTCTCTGGGAGGAGTGTTAGCGCGGACACGTCTCTGCGTTCACCGATTGTTGAGGTATGGGAGATGTCGGACGAAGCAGAACACGAACACGAGGATTCATCGAGAGGTGAAGATACAACTGCTCATACACCTTCAAATGCCCCTAGTCGATTGCAACTATATCAACAACGATATCCACTCGGCAGGCAACCTTTCCCGAATACATTCACGTATTCCGATGGGCGGTTCCAACTACGTCGTGGACGGAAGGAAAGCTGCGTATCGACAAAGACTGGTCAAGATAGTCTTGCTTCACTAGTAGTATCCTTATCGGCACATGATGCACCTGCTGCTCCCGCACGTCCTACACCGTATCGTCTCCCTTTACTCGCATTTTTCTCGTCACTACTCGTTATAGACGATACGACTCTACACCTCCTCACTCGTCCTTCCCATCCGCACACCTCACCTCTCTTTCCCGGATCACGATTACACTCGATCGACGACAATGACACCATCCTTGACGAAAAGCACGTTCTATTCGAGTCACCTTCAGCGGCTCTGAAAGCAGGAATAGAAGTAGCAACCGATCCATCCATCACACGAGAGTCTATCTTCGCTTTACCGTTACCTGCTCTAAAGTTCACGTACATTTGGGATCTGGTGGCGGGTGTATGTAGGGCCAGCGTTCCGAGGAAGATGCGATTGCCAGCTAGAGCTTCTTAATCGATTACTGCCTTTTCCCTATTCTACTGCAGCTTCTTGCATTAATTTTGTTGCTTTGGAACACTTCATATAAACTGCATGGTTTAACTTTTTTTCGTAGTTCTTTCATTCTTTCATTAACACCCCTCACTGTATATTATTCACGTTGTAGAACAAGTACATGTGCATTAATGGGTCTTTTAAAATATTGCAGTCTTTGTGTAAATTTTTCCCGGTGTAATTCGTCCGATTACGTTGGGGATCCTGTATGTATGCTATGCACAACGAAATCCGTCTGGGACGTATCTGTAGGAACATTTCGGTTTTCAACAACTCATTTTAGTCTAGGGTCGTTGTTAGATAGTGTATTTCATATCATCCCTTCCGCTTCAACGCGTCCTCATGATAAAGTCAATGAATTAGCTTGTTAACTTCGAGGTGTTCCGTACTTGCGTGAGTGAATATGAGTGAGGGATATTCGGAGAGCGCCGGATCTGCTTAGTCATCGTGTTGTAAGCGGTTGCAGTCTTGACCTTTGCTCCGGTCGCTTCCTTTCCTTTCCTGTGACACAACCCCCACTCTCTTCTCCCCACCCGCTTTATTTGCCACTCAACGTCCGTCGTCCACGACTGAACGCAGTACAGTCGAGATAGGTCGGCGACAGCGACCACCTCTACCCTAATCACTTAGAAAATCAATTCCATAAAACAGTAGGTCGCGACGATGGCCCAGACGTACTTACCACTACGTCAGAAGACCGCGTCGCCGGTGTCTTCTCCCACCCTTGAGGTCGCGGAGAAGCAATTTAATGCGGAGGACGTACAGGAGGCTTTTATTAAACAGAAGAAAAGGTGAGTTTTATGATATCCTGGAGAGACCGCTGGTCTGACGCGGTTGTAGTCTCATCCAAGCCATCGACGACTCCAAGGTTATCTTGGGCGATGTTCGCGAGTTCAACAAGGACGGTTGGATTTTCCGTTACCCGACCTTCCGCCATGAATCCTTTGAATCCTCGCCATCGCAAACGCAAAAGCGTCCGTCGGTTATGCGACGCTCGATGACTTTCTTGGATGACCCAAAGAGCGAAACTAAAGTCGTTCTTAAGAAAACGATGCGGCCTGGCCAGGCTCGCTCTGTGTCGTTGGCATCAGTTAAGGATGCTATGGACGAAGAGAAAGAAGACGATGAAGAATTGGACACCGCTCGTCTCGTTCCGTCCAAGAGCGACCTTGATTTCCATGTCTTGCGCCTCGACCTCAAGATGGGTCCGCACGGCTCATCTGCAACGGCCGCTTCTCTCGTTTCGCAGCTCGAAAAGTCATCCATTGCCAATTTGCTCGAAGACAGAATTGACGCGTCGCTCAAGCATATTGACAAGTTGCGCGTTCGTGTGGAGGACACTTCGTCGAAAGTTCTTGTGACTGGAGACCTCAACGCAGGGAAGTCTACTCTTGTCAATGCGATTCTCCGACGCGAGGTCATGCCTGTGGATCAGCAGCCCTGCACGACTGCCTTCTGCGAGGTTCACGATGCAGCGGAGAACGACGGAAAGGAGGAAGTTCATGTCCTCACAGTCACGGACGCAAGCAAATACTCACCGAAAGACGAGTCCTCGTTTACGCGCATGTCTATTGATGACCTTGATGATCTCATCTCGGACAACGAAGATAGCCAACAAATGGTGAAGGTCTATATCAATGATCCTCGCCAGGCGGCTGAGTCGTTCCTCAACAATGGTATTGCTGACATCTCACTCATCGATGCACCCGGTCTCAACCGTGATAGCGTCAAGACGACTGCGCTGTTCGCCCGTCAGGAAGAGATTGATGTCGTTGTTTTCGTCGTCTCTGCTGAGAACCACTTCACTCTTTCGGCAAGGGAGTTCCTTGAGACAGCAAGCCGGGAAAAGGCATACCTATTCATCGTCGTTAATAAGTTCGAGGGTATTCGCAACAAGGATAAATGCAAGCGTCGGGTCCTTGAACAGATTAAGGAGCTTAGTCCCCGTACGTATGAAGATAACGGAGACCTCGTCCATTTCGTCGATTCGGCTTCCGTACTTGGCGTGAACCCCGCAAACCCGGCGTTCAAATCACTCGAGTCGTCCTTGCGCTCCTTCGTGCTCCTCAAGAGATCAAAGTCGAAACTTCACCCAGCTGCGACATATCTCACGCATTTGCTTTCTGATGTCGATCTTCTTGCGGGTGCCAATGCTATCCTTGCGAAGGCGGAGCTTGAGAAGGCAAGGGATGATCTTAGCCGGGCTAGGCCAGTATTGGAGAAGATGAAGAATGGCCGTTCTGGTCTTGAGGAGAGCCTGGAACAAGTCGAAGATGACAAGACTGCTGGTGCTAGCCGTATGACAACAGACAAACTCTCGCATGCACTCGATCGTGTAGGTTCTGGCGAGCTAGCCGTTGGGGACGCGCTTGTGACCATGCCATCTTACCCCGGTATTCTTCGTATCTGGGAATACGTCCATGACGTCCGAAAGGCACTACTCGCGAGTCTTGATGCTGCAGTTAAACTTGCAGAAGACGAGGCTCGTGTATTGACTGGTGATGGCGTGAAGGATATTTCAGCGCTCGGTGATCGCTTCCTGCCTGAAGGCGTTCAACGTTCTCGTAGGGTGTTCATGCCCGAGGCAATGTTTGCGCGTCACCGTTCTTCGAGGAACGGTAAAGCCCGTCGTGGTTCAAGTGGTGCAATTGTTGCGGGCGGCGTGTACGGACTTGGTATTGGTCTTTCTCAACGATCCGAGTTGCTTGAGCCCTCAGTACTCGACATCATCGACTTCACTCATTATTACAACGAGTACTTCGGTGACAAGGAATCAAAGGATCTCGTCGTTTCGGAGAAAGATGACGAAAGTGTAATAAGCGCACTCAGCGTCATGTCCCTAGCGCTCGGTGGATTAAGCATGGTCGGCGGCAAAGCACTCGGCATAACCAGCATCATCGAAGGCGCAGCTCGTCTTTCAGAGTTCTTCGGTAACGAGAAAGCAAGGAAATGGGCTGCACCCGTTCTTGGTGCAGTGACAATCGGCCTTGGTGTATACCTTATTATCGAACTTCCAAGTAGCGTTCCACGTACGGTTGGTCGACGTGTCCGTGCCTCGCTCGTACACCCAGATGAATCGGGTGTGACGTTCGTTGGCGTACATTCCGCTCGTATATCGCGCGAGACGCGTAAGGTATTGAGACTTGCAGCGTACGAACAGCGTGAACGGTTCCGACAAACTATGGAGACTAGTGAGAAGGAGGTGCAGACTGCTGAGCGGTTAGAATGCCAGGCAGAGAAAGCTCTTGCCTGGTTTGGTGATGTGCAAGATCGCACTGGGAACGTACGTGCGGAAGTCGAGGCCATCGGCGAGCTCTGAGGGAAGGGATTCTGGATTTCGACTTCATAAGTATCCATGCAACGATTTCAACGCTCACCTTGCGGTTTTATTCTTTATCAGTAATTCTTCACTCTTCAACTTCCCTTTACTGCTCCACCAAATCAAATTACATTGCATTTTCTCCGACTTGCAATTTTTTCTTTCTTTCAAAAGTTATCCCATTCTTCGAAGCAAGTCAGGGGCGTTTCAAATTCAACTTTCAATATACAGTACGATATTTACTTTATTTTCTTCGTCCATGCACCGTAAAATGGTTTTAAACGCTCCTTTTTCTTCCTTTTTTAAACCCCTTTATCCTCACTCACCCCTGCTCATTCATTCTACTTTACTTTAGAGTGGGGAGGGAAGAGGAGGAAACGGGAAATGAAACGAAATGTGCTCTCTTGCGTCGTGCTGTTATGTCAGACATGGACAGACGCTCAGTGCACGCGAGTATGTTGCTCTGTAATGAATTGATAGATGAATAGCTACTATAGGCATGCAATTGTGTTTCCAGTTTATTCGACGACATAAATATCCAACAAGATAACAGTAACACTCTGTGGTTGGAGGTCTGACAAGGTCTTCGTAGAGTAGAGAAATGATTGGCATACAAAATTACTGTTGGTAGGTCAGAGTCTGCTTAAGAATGACCCAGTCTCGACGAACAAGAACGATATCAGTGTTACTAACAATATTAATGGATACGATCTGTATACATTGTATGATCATAGATAGAAGTTAGAACGGAGATGGGTTATTGGGTATCATGATTGTACAATTGTATAGAAGTCTCCTGCCAATACAACTTTTCAAAAGAGCCACCTCTACTAATAAGAATAATAATAGTCCTACAATACAGAACAATCTCAAAAATGATCCAATGACTTATACCAGGCAACCCATACTCTTTGTGTCTGTTTGCATTATAAGTTGGGCTGTCTTGGGTCTTTTCGAGTCAACAACTATCATTACTGGAGGGAAGGATATAAGGATATATAGCGGTGGAGAATAGAGGGTATAGGTTATGTATACATATATGTTACAGTGTATGGCCGAGCGAGCCTATTCACAAGGACTGCTGTCAAACATAAACTTACTTATATTTTTTTAATCTTGAGCGGAGTTAAGTCATTGACGGAAACGAAAATATAGCAATCTCAGCTAGGGAAATTCTCCTTGTCAAGCTCGTCGAATATACGTCAACGTTGGCACAATGAAAGCTAGACGATTGGAATTCGACACTGCCCTTCTGCTGAGACCACTGAGGGCATGCGGTGGAGAGCGGCGTGTCCAAGTCCGGGCTGCTGAATTTGGTGGTGAGACTTCGGTGAGGTGAGAATGTCCTGTCCGGGCCAAATATGTTCAGGACCAAGAACTCGAAGTGAAGAGCTCGTCGGAGATACATACAGTATGCCAAGCAAGAGAAACGGAGGTATCATGACGTTGCAGACAGTTAGCCGTAGACATTGAGAGGCAGTGAGAGTGAGAATGCAAAAGTGTGTCTGAATCCGAGCCGAGTCCCCACATAAAGTTAGACAGCAGAGGATCTCCAAGCTCCCAGCGAAGTCTGCTGTATTATAAGCATCTGAGCTGCCGAGTACCGACTCTCACTGATCGAGAACGCTCCAGTCCGGTTTGAAATATCCTGTTCTTGTTAGGATTGATTAAACAGCCGTGGATTTGTGGTCCGATGATGACATGGCAGGGCCCTTCTGTATGATACGGATCTGCAGAGAAGAACTTCGTCCAGTTGGCCAGCAGTACGAGACGGACAGCTCGTCGTCATGCCTTCCCAACTTTTCTTGACAAGACATGTCTCTTTGAGCGAAGGTCCGAATACGAGGCAACGAGGCAGCTTATAGTAAAGCAATTACTTTCCCTTCCGCACTGCTGGGTGAGCCGGCACGCACTCAGGCGCTTCCCACACAGCGATGCCGAAGTATGCCCTGAACATCAATCGACGCGAGGCGAGCGAAAGATTCGTAACTGCCGGAAGTACATCTTCGATTTTCAATTACGATCATCAAATACGAGCGGGATTGAGATGCTCTCAAAGTTCCAGTACGAACGTGTATTCACCTCGTTGTTGAGTTGGTGTCTTCGGTGTTGAAGGAAAATATACTTGGAAGAAAAGCCGCAATGCCAGCGTAAGTGACATTTGTCCTTGAAATGGTCGTACCTTGTTCTTCCTTGGGACGCCGAAGTGCTAAATTAGTTGCAATAGGCGTTCTTTTTCAATTTACCCTGAGAAACCGTCAGTTATTTCTAGGTGTCCCAAACCTTCCGTAAATGTTCCGCAAACAAGGATGTTCCGGAACCGATACTGTAACGGCTTGTCGATTTACTCCTTTTTTCTTTGAAGGAACAGGAAAGGAAAAGAAAAATAGAGTTGTCTGCTCCAAGTCACCATGTGGAATGTTGCCAACAGCCTGTGATACTGCGCTTGATTGATTCCACAAGCCTGAGAGACGCCGCAGTAAGCGACAAACATATGTGTTTAGCGACTGTCTTGCATGGCGACGATCGCAGCCATCCAAGACCCGAGAATCTGAGAAAGTGGACGAGTGAACGAACGATTCTAGGAGAAGGTCGGACGGCAAGACCTCGATGTCGTTCCGGTGACGTGAGGAATCGTAAAGTGCGGGCGGTCGAGATGAGGCTTCTTGAAATCTTTTTGTACCTGGGATGGTGAACTGACGAATTGGTGTGGTGGCTTCGGGTCCCTTGCCAACGCAGTGCGATGAATTGAGAAACGCATCAAGCACCAGCGATCTCGCCAATTTGTGTTCCGCATGGGTCTGATACCTCTCACGTGTTACTACAATACATAAACCATGCCTGTGGCCGACAAGGAACACTCATCGTTCTCCCTCCCGCCTCGACTACTTCTTTCCGCTTTTCTTCATCGTTTTCTTTCACTTTTCTTTCATTTTACACCCTTTTATACGCTGCGCGTACAGGCCTTTCTTATCGCTTCAGACAGCTCTCCAACTCGACAGGCTTGCCTTCGGTCGTTTGCTCAGCAACCACTCTTAATCCACATTCGTTATTCAAATTCAAGGGGGACCTATCTGATCTAAAATGAAGTTCGTTGACACTATCTGTCTCGCTACGCTTGTTGCATCAGTAGCAGCTCTGCCGATGCAGGCTGTGAGGCGTCAGAATGGCGGCGCAGACGGCCTCTCGTTTGCTCAAATCGACGCTCTGACTCCACAGTTTGGACATGCTGCGAATGTCAACCCGACTGGCACGGGCGATTGCGACGGTGCTGTTAACGGTGCCGACGGAAAGCCCATCAAAGTGCCTTGTTCTTGCCCTCCGGACCGGACCACGTTTATTAATGTATTTATTTTTACGGTTTTCTACCTCAATAAATATTAATTGAAATTCTCTTTCCAGAGCCTCATCGGAAACCTCAATGCCGGACACGTTGTGAACAACCCGAGCGTGGGCATCTCGTTCCCGACAGACAACTCCATTCCATCAATCCAGGCGCGTTTCAACGCCGCGTCAGTTACACTTCAGAACTTGAACGGAGCGGGTAAAGGCTGCCCACAGGCATCCACGACTTGGACTGCACAATTGAATGCCATCCTTTCTGGTGCTTCGTCGCCCGCTAGTGCCCCCCCTAGTACCACCGCTCCCGCACCAGCTCCCCCGGCGTCATCCTCCACCACTACTGCACCTGCATCTACGTCAACTGTTTCTGGTGCAAATGGTCTCTCGCTTGCTCAAATTGATTCGCTTGCCCCAGACCTCGGCTTCCAAGCCGGTGTTAACCCAACCGGCACCGGTGATTGCGATGGAGCCGTCAACGGCGCAGACGGGAAACCGATTAAAGTGCCTTGCTCATGCCCACCTGCACGGGATGTCTTCATCCAGGTATGTTTCAATTCTCTTATCACAATTACGCTAAATTTAGCTCTTTCATTTGTTTACTAACTCCCTTGCTTTTTCTTCCTCTGTATAGTCTCTCGCAGAAGACATCGCTGCTGGCCACGCAGTACACAACCCTAGTGTAGCAGTTTCCTTCCCAACTGACGACTCAACGGCTTCTCAAATCACGCGTATCCAGGCTTCACTTGTCGCGCTACAGAATTTGAACGGAGAAGGTGTAGGTTGCCCGGCTGCTAGCACGACGCTTTCTGCCCAGCTTAAAGCCCTGACTGGCTGAAGAGATGCATTAGCATTAGCTCACTTATGAAGTATTTGCTTTCTTATGCTTGCTTGTAGTGCTGTGTATTTGCGATTCTTTGTTCAATAATGCTTCTCTTTCTTCTTCTGTTGCGTGATTTTTGGAAAAGGATACCCTTGATTTGTTAGGCTTGACTTTGTTTTGTTTTGGAATGAATTAATTTGCTACTGGGAACGTACTGTTTTCCATGCAACTTGTTTGTGTTTGTGCATTAGCATTTTATCTGCAACTGGATCATCAATTTCCTGGTTCTCCCACTGCACTCTTGGACACAGCTCTAGACTGCAACGAGGAACAGCATACGAGTTGTTAAGCTGAGCACAGTTTGGCACAGCAATACACAACTACACATGGACGACTTAATGCTGTATTATCTAAAGCCCTAACTCACTGTATGAGAATACATAATATGCATCTCTTGTACTATTATGTTATGTATACAACACTTATAGCACTGAATGAGTTGTTTCCCTCACTAGCATTCTTACCAAGTCCAATTGTATGGAGTATATAGTATATACTAGCTCTGAGTGTGTAATATCGTTGTCCCTATATAACTAGTGATTAGACTTGCTATTTATTTCAATTCGTGAAATACAATAGGAAATTCTGTGCCATATTGCTCAGAATTTAGCTATACCATAGTAGGCTTAAACATGTCATTCCCTTTCCTCAGAAGGACCAACAAAATGGATTGTATAAGTATGTATGATATATGAGAAGTGAGTGTCCATCTAAGTACTTAGTAATGCAGTCTGCAGGTGCAGGACAAGCAGGCCCAGAAAGCACGGGAAGTTGTACTTTCTATAACGCACGCAAAGCATTTGTAGCGTAGTCATCATCTTTATCCGTCATCCTTCAACTGTGTCGCTCTCGACAACGACAAAAAAAATATTGCTTGCAATATACGTCACAGGTCAAACGTGCCAATTAGTTTCTTAATCTCATCCACGTCCATGCCTCCCCCATCGGGATCTGCAGCTTCGATACACCGGGCAACAGCAACAGTATGTTTTGGTGACTTGGTATTTATCCACACACGTCCGTTCATACCCACTGCTGTCTCGAGTGGAAACATCGAGCCGAGCAAAGGAAGAAGGAAGTATTTCGGATCTAGCAACCTGCGTGGTATTGCAAGCATAATTCGCGGGCAGTGAAAATATGCGAGGTCAGGCCGTGACTGGCAGGTGAGTTTGCTTGCTCAAACATGGGATGGGACTTACGAGCGACACATCCCGAGACTACATCGAACGAGGAAGCCACCTTTGAGCTCACCGAAACCTTCAGACTTGCGAGTTTGAGCATCGAAACATTCGAGTTCAGGTTCCATGTCTTTATGTGCTAACGAAACACGAGCGTAGATCAATGAGTTAATCTAATCACTTCCAATGAGCACGCTGTCCACTATAGAAAAGAGAGGTAATAATGAGTGACCTTGAAGTTTGGTTTATTCCGTTTTGTCGCACCCTCGAATGCGTACCCGTCCAGACTCGCCATATGCGCACCACCGATATCTATCCGCCATCCTTCACCCGCCTTCGCTATTACCGTTCCGACGACATATTCCTGAGGCGCAGGGACATACTGATAAATTCACAAAGAACCGGATACGTCTTGAATCAGCCTTTTGAAACGTATTGCAGACACAAAGTCGAAGAGGGCGCACCCGACGAGAATTACTCTCGACCCACCACTTGCTTCCATTCGCCGAGTGATTCAGCGCCCCGGCGCGTGTGGAGATGATATTAGATGTACCAGTCTGGTCTGAGAGTACGAGCAGGCCAGGTCCGAGCTTTAGATTAGCGTGTTTGGCGTCGACGAGCTCGCCGGGCAAGGTGGTGGTAGCCATGTACAATTTTGAAAAAGTACTCGCGACGCGCCTCTTGAACTTGATCTTGGACCGCTACCTTCACTGCTCACTCGTCTGGCTTGACGCATCGCTGTTCATCATATTCTTGCCACTATCTGAAATGAGAAGCCTTATTTTCCCTGTGCTAAACCCTGTCTACCGCTTGGAAGATAAGACCAAGGAAAAGACTAGGGAAAAACAAGTCGACTCTCTGTACTTTCGAAAGTAACCTCATGCCAAGATCCGAGGCTCGCTCGTGTCTTTCTTGCTTGCTTTGACTCCCCCTCTCCGTTGCACTCGACGACATGCAGACGTGTAACTGGTTGACAAGCAAACAGTCCGCGTTGACCGAGTCATGAACTCTTTTTCATGAACGAGTGCTATCTATAGCAGAGTTTGCTACATCACATAAATAGCTCAAATATGCTCACCGAAAAATTCGTATATCGTGGACATCCGCTATATAAGTCGTCTATTGCGACTAATCTAACTCAGTTTGTTACCTGCCTTCGCAAATGACGGGGGCCTGGTCTGTAGCTTTCCGTATGGCACGTGTCGACTCACGAAAAATTGGTCTCTCTTGTCGTCTCGCTCCCTAGGCCTCTGCGCAAAAGTGCGACTGAAACGTTACGGCTCGCTCGGGGCACGATTCATTTGCATGGCTTCCTATGTTTTTTTTGGAACAGAACCTCCTTGTATAGCGATCCGGCAGAGTATTCTTGGGTTCATTTCGGATATCTTGCAATTCTGCAGTCAACCTGTCCAATGTGAAGTCATCGTTTGGTGTGATGAAAATGAGCATTGTCTCTCCATCCGAAATAGGTCTATGAATCCCATTGGCTTGCCTGTGGACGTCTCATTGCATGTGCCATTCCAGAGTGCATTTTCTGTCCTCTGCAAGGGTATAAGATATGGAGAACCGTCCTGCCAGATGTCTCCATTCACGTTTCAAGTAAGTAGTAGACGGGCGACAACGCATTAACCGGTTTCTACAGCTCAAGGCACTCTCAGGATGCTTGTCAAGTCTCTAGCTTCGTCAGTTGCTCTTCTTTCATCTCTTTGTTTTGTAGCTGGTGCTCCCCAAGCTTCGTCTGGAGCGAAGGTCGGTCCTTAACAATCTTCTGTCCTAGACTAGACCTTGACGAAGTGTAGTTCGTTATTTACAGTGACAAGACAGTAGCAAATGTTCTTCCTGATGTGTCGCAGATTGAGGTCAGTTACTCTGTCCCCGCCTAAGGCGACACGACGTACTAACTGTTATTTCTCAGGGTTATAATGTCTTGTTCGTGCGATAAGTTTTACGGAATTTTGTTCAATCTAACGGCATCCATCTTAGCGCTTTGTCTTTCCTTCTGAGTACCGGTGCAGCTGATCAGGCCAAAGGCTGGCAATCTTTGGACGCTGGCAAGAGAAAGGATCTTAAGAGTGCCTACAATAAAGCAGGTATCAAACTCATGGTCTCTGCTTTTGGAGCAACAGAACAACCCACTACGTCTGGTGTCGACGCGACAAAGACTGCTAATGATATGGCTAACTGGGTAAAGCAGTACGACGTCGATGGTATCGATGTTGACTATGAAGACCTTACTGCTATGAATGCTGGTGATGGTAAGGCTGAGGCATGGCTTGCGACTTTCACGAAGACATTGCGTGGTCAGCTCCCTCAGGGAAAATACATTATCACCCATGCTCGTGAGTAGTCTGTTCCGTCAATTAAATTTTCATTACTCAGTTTTTACATCATTAGCTCTCCCACCTTGGTTCAACAGTGAGACCTACAAAGGTGGAGGATACGTGAAGGTCAACAAGGAGGTTGGCAACATGATCGACTGGGTAAACTTCTCAAACTTCATTTGTATTCCTAATCCCTCGCTAACATATCCAAATAAGTACAACCTCCAATTCTACAACGGTAAGTAAATCATTCCTTTGGAGATGTACTTTGTCTGACTTCTCTTCTTCTGCAGATAATGACTACACTGACTGCAACAGCCTCCTGACCTCATCAAAGACCAAGACTTCCCTATTTGAGATCGCTAAGACTGGAGTTGACCAGAACAAGCTTGTCCTCGGCAAACCCGCAACATCAGCAGATGCAAGCAACGGCTTCATGGATACCAAGACTCTTGCTGGCTGTGTTAAGCAAGCGAAAGGCAAGGGGTGGGAAGGAGGCGTCATGGTTTGGCAGGTATGCTTACATTCTCTATTGGAACGCGAAAATCATGTTACTCACTCGGTTGTAGTATCCCAATGCTAACTCTCAGTGGATTAAGGATGTCCGAGGTGACGCATTTCCTACTAAGTAGGCGCACGTTGGTGTGATTCGAACACTCTGCATCGGCACGTCTTACATTAAAGTAGTATATCGAGTAGCTCTCGATGCTTTCTTATAGAATCTTCTTGTAATCAATATCTCATCCTTTCTTACTATAAGTCATATTAAACAATAACAGAATTATCCTTTCACTAAATAATGAACAAAGGCCTCTCGTTCAACAAAAATAAGAATTAAAAACACTATAAATCTATTTGACTGCTAGTCTTTTGCAGTAAACTCTGTTACAGATGGATGGAAAAGACGAAAGAATACTCCTCGTTCATGGTTAGACATGCTGTCGTTTGAGTCATCCGTTCTGCACGGCCATCAAACGACAGCCTGAGGGTTACTCCATCTGTTGCATAACCATCATTAGACTTTGCACAAAGAACCCGTCCATGAATAAACGGAAGCAAAATACATACTACTAGTTCTCGAACGAGCCAGAACTGCAAAAATCGAGCAAACTTGAAAGGAAGCAAACCAGTTCAGACCAAATGAAATTCGGAAGATACCAATACAAGTAAAATGTTATTACTAAGTGAGATGAGCTCAAGGTTCTGAATTCGCACAATGAGGAAGCATTTTACATCATGTACGAAGAATAAAGCATTTGCCAGGGACCGTATACTGGATCAAAGATCCTGTTGAATATATTTAGCAGTGAAGAGTTTATTCCATCCTAGTCCTGTTGTATACTGAAATGCATCGACAATTCCAGGTCAATTCCGGACCTCACTGTACGTGATGTCTTCATGACCTCAACATTCTCTGCTCGGTTGTTACCCTCAGCCACATTGCTAGTTTCATCTAATTTTAATTATCATTGTTATTGTACGGTCTCTATGCGAGCCCAAACTGGTGATTACCTACAGTGCATAGAAATATACTGTTGTATATATTGCTAGAATAGGCAATTGAGGCGTAACATATAGCATCTATATAGTAAAGACAACCCCCCTCTTGCAACTGTGCCACATCTTTAAAGTCCGAATTTTAGTCAGCAAACTAAACTATTTGTAGTATGCACTAAGCCCAATACAGTCAAATTTCCGAGACGCGTCTCATTCCTGTCTGCAAAACTTGCTACCCGTGAGAATATTCTGCTAATTCTGTTCTTACTCTAATTATTACACCAGTGCATAGAATTAGTACAATAGTAAGGAGCAACAAATAAAATAGACAGTTTTTCTAATAAACATTTAATTACACATAGTTAATTTCCTTCCCCTCTGTCTCTTATTACTACTTTTAAAATTACTACTTTCAGTTCTTCCCTCAATGTGTGTACATAATTAAGTGAACCTTTCTATTACTATTACCCTATACATGTGTATACTGGAACTACTTTGGACACTAAGCTATGACTCTCTTGAATCCTAAGACATTAATGTGTGAACCTGAAACTCTGATTTCTAACATTCTTCAGACCTTTATTGTTGCTAAATAATGTAACAGCTCTTCAGGCATCATCTTATCTCACACTCTCTCCCTCTGTCTATTCCTCCACATATAATACAACTTTGTGCCAGGATACAGAACACACAGATTCACTAAACTAATAGTGATCAATATATGATTACCTTAATAGTACCTGACTTGGCTCCTCTACTCTCTTCCTCAAACTTGACACTTTGGTTCCTAATCTTCTGAGTAATGTACTACACTTGACAATCATATTAGCTATTAGCCAAGTGTCAGGTACAACAGTATACTGATAGAAATTAGTCTAAGACTACACAGAATAGGATCTGAGATGTTTGGTCTACCACAATCATTACCACCATTGTACCTTCAGGCCAATGGTGGAACAGTAAGGAGGATCACACTGTGAGTTGGCCAACCAAACAAAGGCATTGTTACCCAGTTAGTTGAATTGAAATTAGTCCGAGACTATGCAGAATGGGATCCAAGATGTTTGGTCTGCCACAATCATTACTACTATTGTACCTTCAAGCTAATCAAACAGTAGGGAGGGTCACACTGTGAGTTGGCCAACCAAACAAGGGCATTGTTACCCAGTTAGTCAAATCGAAATTAGTCTGAGACTACACAGAACAGGATCCGAGATGTTCAGTCTGCCACAATTGTTACAACCATTGTACCTTTGGGCCAATGGAACAGTAAGGAGGGTCACACTGTGAGTTGGCCAACCAAACAAGGGCATTATTACCCAGTTAGTCAAAATGCAACTATTGGAAGATACACAGGAGATACAGGAGAATGATGAGAAGCAGTGAAATAACAGAAGAGAAGAGTAAAGGGTAATGAATATGGAGTAGAAGTAGAGGTAGTGTTACAGATCTAATAAATTCAGGCTGATAGTGAATGCCAGGATAAATAGACAGGTAGGTTGGAGAGATAGAGATGAATAGAATAGAACCTGGAGAGGCAATTGGTCAGTTGTATTAAACACGCAAAACAAGAGTAGCTCTGTCATTAGGATCCCCATATGTTACATACAGGCAAAGTAGATAGATGGAGAATACAAAGAATTGATCAAACTATACTAGAATTTGTACAATGTATAGTAGTTAACGAAATCAATCATGATTAGTCTATGTTTGATCAAAACTGTGGCACATGTATTAATACAAACTATATGAATTAGTATGAAAGGGTCTATAAAATCAGCAAACATAAAAAAGGGGTACTACTACTATCAAAGCAAAGTGATTTTCCAAGACTTTCATTAGTATAAATCAGTTTGAAATCAGCAAAGTATTACAAAAAGGGACAAGTGTTATTAATACAAAGTAATTTACCAAGATCTTCCAAGATTTGCATTAGTACAAAGGGATATATAAATTAGCAAAGGTTGTACTTTTTATCTCTTTATAGACTAAGTACTACTTTGTACATATTTATTTATGTCATAGAGTACTTTGCTTTTAATTCGAATGAGTATAAATAATGAAAGGTTATAAATAATGTACAGATTTTCAGCTTTAACATTAATCTACTCGATTCTCAAAGACTTATTACTACTACTGGCTTGATTCTTAAAGTGTTATTACAACTACTTTACACTAACCACAATCTTATTACAATTAGTATGTTCTTTATATAATTTTGTTATTATGAATTAATTTACTTACTATAATGTTTGGTTTACTAGATTATAATATGGGTTCTAATTCGCCTCCATATTATAATGAGAACAATAATGCAATAATAAGTTTGAATTCTCCTCCAGTAACACCAAATAGACAAAGACAAAGGAGAAGACAAGATAATCGATACCAATCAGAACAAGAAAGTCCCAGTCATAGGAGGCGAAGAACACCTCAAGGAAGTCCCTCTGGATCACCACATTGGAATTATACTGAGTTAGAGAATCCATTTATTAATCCTCCTCATTATAATTCAGTTTCTCCACCTCCTCCACCTCCTCCACCTTTAACATTACCTCCTATCCCACAACCACATCGAACCTCTTCTCAATTACAACAAGTTATGAATCAAAGGCAAGAAATTCTAAATGCTCAACTTAATCCTACAAGAATATATAGACATTCAGTAAGAATTTTACATACTTATTATTTTTATTATTAAAAATTTATATAATTATAGATACCAACTCAATCACAACAAAATACACAAACATCTTCTACTTATGAGTATGAATATGAAAGATATCAAAGAACTCAAAGGCAAACTGTATGTAACTCTTTTGTTTTTATATTACTAAAATACTAAAATCTTATTTATTAGTCTGTTAATAATAATCAAAATCAACAATATGAAAGACCCTATACAAGTACTACAAACACGCCAACTTATTCTCAACAGTACTCTTATGAAAGACAATATCAGAATAATACAGGTAGAAATAATACTACTTATTATCAGCCACAGAATTATTCTACTACAAATCCTGTACAATCTCAGCCTTTAAATACTTCAGATAGTAGAAGATATAGACAGTCAAACAGTACATATTCGTCTGTTGCACCTACTCAGCAACAGGTAAATTATCATTTACATTTTTATTATTTACCATATTATGATTTATCATGTAACTATAACTATTATGCAGCCAAATAATTATAACTCGAATATTAATGTAAATTACAATGAAGAAGTACATAATACACAAAATACAATACAAAATAATGAGTTACAAGAGGTACTTTAATTATTACTAATTTTTACTATTACTAAGTAATATAATAACTAATATAATTATTAGAATATTGAAAGACTTGATAATACTATTAATAATACTATTCAAAATCCAGAATTACATCAGGTATAGTTTTATATCATTATAAACTATTATATACTAAGTATTATTATTATTGTTTTAGGAGTTAAATAACCCTTTTGAGAATGACCCTTTTGCAAGTATAATTAATGAAGAAAATCAAGAAATACATCAATGAATTTTTATCAGAAATGGTCTTAATTATGCAAGAGATCCATCTATTACTACTACAAGTATTCAATATTATGATTTAGGAAATATGAATGTATTGTGTCGATTTTGTAATGCTTTACATTGGAGATGTGAACAGACTAAATCAAAAGGCTCAACTATTACAAATCCGAAATTTGCTATGTGTTGTTTAAGTGGTAAAGTTCAAGTTCCTTTACCAAGACTTCCTCCACCTGAACTTCAAAAACTATATGAAGGTATTTTTTACTTTATTTAATACTTATTAACACTAAATAAATTTGTAACTTTAAGGTGAAACCTTAGAGTCAAAACACTTTTTATCTTCTATTAGAAACTTTAATAATGCTTTTGCATTTACAAGTCTTGGGATTACAAATAATGTATCTATACATACAGGAGGTCCTTTTTGTTTTAAAGTAAATGGAAAACTTCATCATTGGATTGGAAGTCTTCTTCCTACAACTACAGTTACAGGAACTACACCTCAAAGGTATTTATTCTTAAATACACTTTATAAATTTTGTTTTAAGTTAAAATACATTATAGACAATTTGCACAAATCTATTTATTAGATTCAAAAGATGCTGCCA